CAATCCCGCCTCCTCTCCTCTTTTCCTCTCGTCTTCCTCACCTCCCAAAACCCTATCTCCGCTCTCCTTCTCTGACCCTGTCCCTGTCCCTGCCCCTCCGCCACACAATCCCGTATCTCTGCACATCACAGAATCCATATCCTTCATTATGTCGTAATTTCTTCTTCTCTAAAAGGATAAAGTCCATTTTAATCTATATTGATTGTCTTCAACCTTCTAACAATAACAGGAAAAAGAGAACCCTGTTCTTCTTTTTCCTGTTTTCTACCATTGTAACCCTTTGGTTTTTTTCTTGATTGACCGTTTAGAATTTAAATTACTTTCATTTGATTTTTGTTTCTTTTTTTACCCAAAAAGTGAAAGAAAGGGAAAATGGCAATTGCTTATCCTCATTTTATAGGGTCGGAAAATGCATCCATGGATACAGGGTTCCCATCCCTGTCTCTCCCTACACCTCTATCCCCGCCGGTAATCCTGACCCAAGATGAGCTAAAGAAAATAGCAGCCTACAAGGCGGTGGAATTTGTGGAGTCTGGCATGGTTCTCGGTCTCGGAACTGGGTCCACCGCGAAGCACGCTGTGGACCGCATAGGGGAATTGCTGAGGCAAGGCACGCTGAAGAATATCGTTGGAATTCCTACCTCCAAGAAAACCCATGAACAAGCGGTGTCTCTAGGAATTCCGCTGTCGGATCTTAATGAGCATCCTGTCGTTGATTTAGCGATTGACGGCGCTGATGAGGTTGACCCGGATCTCAATCTCGTCAAAGGCCGAGGTGGGTCTCTCCTCAGGGAGAAAATGGTGGAGGGTGCTTGCAAAAAGTTTGTTGTCATCGTCGATGAATCCAAGTTGGTTAATTATTTGGGAGGAAGTGGGCTGGCTATGCCTGTGGAGATTATCCCCTTTTGTTGGAAGTTTACTGCAAAGAGGTTGCAGGACTTGTTTGAGGATGCGGGTTGCTCTGCGGAGCTAAGAATTGAAAATGGAGAACCTTTTGTCACCGATAATGGTAATTATATTGTGAACTTGTTTTTCAAGAGGGATATTGGAGATTTGAAGGCTGCTAGCGATGCAATTTTGAGGATTGCTGGCGTGGTGGAGCATGGGATGTTTCTTGACATGGCTACTACTGTGATTGTGGCAGGGGAGCTAGGCATCACCGTCAAGAATAAGCATTAAGGGCCTCAGGAATTGATGGTTGTTATTGAACAATTCAACATCTTTATTTGTAGGGGATCAAATTAGAATTCTTGATAAACCAAATCAGATTGTTGTAACAGTGAAAGATTTTTAGGTTCCTTGGCATGATTGAGGAAGACTGAGGTGGGTCTCCTCAAGTTTTGCTATTGAATTTTTTAGACAATTTAGCAAAGAAGGATTTTAGAAATGTTAGGATTTTGAAGCCAGCTGAGGGAAAAACATGCTGTATTCAGCTGAGCATATCATTTCAATATAAAAATCAGCTCATTGTTATTAATTACATTTTGCAATGCCACTTTGATCTTTTTTTTTTTTTATACCATGGAATGGATGCTGTCTGAATAACACTCTTGAACATGTTGCAGTCAACTTTTATGTTGTTGTTTATGCCTTCAATTGACATCACACGAAAGCTGTTTTATAGTATTGTTTATGAAGTTCTTGATACACAAAGATTATATAACTTAACTTGCCAGCGTGGATTGCATCATGATAGCATTCAACATTCAACTTATTTGCTTTGTTAATGGTACTGTTTCTTCTCTCTGCTTCTTCTTTGGTAAATAGTTACTCTAATTCTAACTGTTCTATTTGTGAACTGGTAAACTACTGATCCAGGAGAAGAAACACTTCTATAATGGGGTAAGTCTCCCAATCTTGGAATGGTTGTATCACTTCAGGTCATCCATGTTAAAGCTTAAACCACAACTTTAGAGAGACAAACATGCATTTTCATTGTTGTTGCTTGATGCACCTCATCTCTATTTGTCTGAGATTCTGTGTATCTTATTAATCCTTTGCAATCCACCAATTGTTGCCAACATGATAAACCATTTCAGTATGTTGATTCCGAACTAGTGTTGATGAATACTTCTTGGAAGGTGGCCTGGGGTTTGGTATTAGAACTCACTCACTGTTTGCTTGAACCCCTATTCATGCGTTCTTTTTGGCTCAATGTTTTGGAAGAATTATGTGTTGCTGATACAGCAGGTTTTCAATGCTCTTATCAGATATGGCATTTGTCCTGCTACAAAAATGCTTTGGACAGGTTCATGATCTGAGTCTCTTTTTTGAAAGGGGAAATGATTGCCAACGTAGCTACAGTGTCAAATAGATATTGCAAATTAACTGTTATACCTGATTGTGGTAATGTTTTTAGAGATTTTTGTCACATTTATCTATCTTGTTTGTTGAGATCTATGATGTGAGGAAAGTTCTCTATGTTTGGTAGAATTTGTATGATAGAAGCACATAATTCATTCTTTGAAGCAGATAAATGCCTAGGACTTCAAAGGGCTTGGTTACATTGGCAATGTTTCTGGATGAAGGAAAGCTGGAAAAGCCTGGGTTGGGAACTTGGCCATATTTACAGTTTTCATTTTCGTTCTGAGACGTGTATCATCTCTCCATAAATGGTTTTTGGTTTTAGACCTCTGGTTTTTGGAACTCGGCCATAATAACAGTCGTCAATATTTCTAAGTGAAGGAAAGTCTGCGTGAAACATGCCTCCTTTTTGGCTTTAGACCCCGGATTTTTGGAACTCGGCCATAATAACAGTTGTCGGTATTTCTAAGTGAAGGAAATCCTGCATGAAACACGCCTCCTGATCTGATGGCTTACTGTCGCTTAGCATTTCAACCTGCAACTTTAAGAAAGCCAAACTGCTATTTATGCTTATGCAACTCACAACTCTCATGAATGGATAACATTCCATTCTATTGACAGAAAAAGCACTTCTCTTCGCTCTTTTTCTATAACACCCCAAATATGGAAAGTTCAATTTCTTGTTATTTTATCAAGGAAACATTCTAGTTATGAAAAACTTGTAATTCAGGGGAATCTTGCTCTTGAGCTGCCTACTATATTCTTTTTTGCTTTATTTGTTATATAACTTATATCAGAACACGTAGGGCTTTGAGTTCAGTGACGTCAGGTCATGTATAAGTACATTTATTCACTTTCAAGGTAACAGCTCAAATCCAACCTCTTACGCATTTGTTAAAAAAAAAAAAAACTTATATTAGATTATAAATTATATAATAAAAAAAAAATCCTTTTCACCCAAATCGATATTTAAATTTAAAATATTAAACTTTTAATTAGTTGAGGTAACCTTAAAATGGTCACCCAATTTAGCTACTCCATGGCATGAAACGACTTGATTTTCGGGATCTTTTAGATCATGGTGCTCCCTGATGCAATGTAGTGGCCCATAATATATGCGGGCCGGTTACAGGCCTTGGTCTTAAAATCGAAGCCCTTTGGTTCTCGGTTTCGCCCGAAATCAGTCCGTCGGGGAATGAATATTCATTTTACTGTCGTGGATCGGATGGCAGGCAGGGTGTTGCAAAACTTGGCCTCTTCATGCACCTCACTACACTTGATTCTAACATCCTGCTTAAGTGTAGTTTGGTTGTTGGGAAAATCTAAGAACAGTTCTGCTGCTCTCTTCAACTTGTCCCTGAGCCGATCATTGCGCATGAGTTCACCGGACAAATAATAATGTAAGAATTCAACACCTTTTTCTCTGCCTTTGATTCCAACTTCGTTAATTTGATAAACCTGAGATTTTTTTGAATGGAAGTGCCTTCACTTATCTGTGCAATTTTTTTGAAACTTTGTTCATTAATCCGTGTTCCTTGTCTGAGATTTTTTTTTTTTTTTTTATGGTAATTCGCATTGAGAAACACTAGAACAGACGAAAGATTTGGTTTTGTTGATTCGAAATCTGAATTTGCATTTGTAAAACCCCTTTTTTCCAGGGACAAACTTTATTTCAATCGCGGAAAAAGCCAAACTTTTAAGTATTGCTTCTATTTCTCTCCTTTTTGATAGCTGGTGAAGATGTTTACAATATTTAATTTGGTTACTTACAAGATCTAGGCTTTAGGTTGCTGTAATTTCTTGGGGGTGTTTGATTTCATTTTGCAAATGTGTGCTTTCAGTGTTTGGTTATTTTACATCTCAGTCGAGCCATTCTATGATTTTGTAGATTGTATTGACGTCCCTTAAAGCATAAAAGGGATTGACTTTTCTAAACCCCATTAAGCCACTAGTGTCTAAACTGGGATTCAACCCTCTCAAAGGAGGATTTCATTGATCAACTTTTGAATTTAAATCTTTGGGCATGTTGTCTAGCCGCCTGTGTTTTTTCTATGGAGTATGGTGCATTTGAAGAGAAGGTGAGACGAACAGTTTACATCGACAACCTTTCACCAAATGTGACTGAAGCTGTCTTGAGAACCGCAATTGATCAATTTGGTACAGTCAAAAGTATTCAGTTCATTCCAAACTACTTAGGACCAAACAACCTCCCACAATGTGCTTTGGTGGAGATGAAAGAAGATAAGGAAGCTAAAGCTGTGATATCTGTAATGACTCAATTCCCTTTCATGATGTCTGGGATGCCAAGGCCAGTTAGAGCACGAGCTGCTGAAATGGAGATGTTTGATGATCGTCCAAAAAAGCCTGGTAAAGAGATGCAGCTCCGTTGGTTGAATCCCAATGACCCTGATTTTCAGGTTGCAAACAAGCTGAAGTATCTTGTGCAAAACCATACTGCTGAATCTGCTGTCATGCTCAAGGTTAGCTTGTCTATTTTCTTGTAGCTGCTTCATTTCCTTATGGGGAATACCTATATTCTTTCATGGCCAACTTGTTGGGAGTTTGTTTATGTGCAGAAACAACTGATTGAAGAGGAAGAGCTTTCTAAGAAGCAAGGAGAGGCTCTTAAAGCAAATTATAAGAAGTATGAGATGCTTGATGGTGTAATAGGTGATGAGACTGCCCTTCAGCTGGCACGGCATTATAGAAAAAAATAGGAAGTTTTCTTTTCCTTTCTAGTTTTGTGAACAATAAATGAAATTTTGTACGGCTTTTCTACACTAATGCTTGGAGATTGGTCTCCTGATTGAATGTAAGTGTTTCATTGTGTAATTTACAAACAACAGATTTTTGAGAATTTGAGAATTTGAGAATTAGCATGTTGTTGATTGATGGGGATTGTGAAGAATTCCAAACCACCCCCCCCCCTCCCCAACCCCAAAAAAAAAAAAATCTGCTTCCTGTCTCCTAGAGGCAGAATAGTAAGAAGTGTGAACAACTTTATTTCAAGAGCTTGAATATTTTTAGTTTTTACTGTGTTCTATTTTTATTTCAGTTTATTTCAATTCTTTTGGCATTTGAGAAAGGTTGTGGGTAGCCATTTCAGAGGAAATTTTTTTGGTCTTGACCATTTTCAGAAGTTTGAATCAACAATCTTGATATCATGATCAACCTTCTAGGTTATAAAATGGTAATATTTTCAACTGCTTTCATAAACTTCGCCAAGGTCGACTGACGAGACATATATATACCCACTGTTATAGTTTTACATTCACGAGGTAATATTAAATGAGTATAGTATAATATAAATAAATATATATATATAATATCATAAATTAATTTTAAATAAAAATAATTAATTATATAATAATATATTACATTTATAATATCATGTGAAGTTATAATTATAGTATTTTTAATATATATGTGTTAAGATCTATTTACATATAAATCTTATACATTACATTTATACAAAATCTTACTTATTTATTTTTTAACTTTTAATTATTGAAATTTATTTACTTTTTGTTATATTTATTAAAGATAATTATCTTATATATATAAATAGTTATAATAAATTTCAATTATTAAAACTTATATATAAATAGATTTTAACTATATATATTTGGTATATAAAAATTAAAAATTAAAAATTAAATTCTAAATTTATAACTAAGAATATATGTAACTAGAGCACATAGTGGATGGTGAGACTAAACATACATGATTGAAAGGCATATGGAACTTAGCCAAATTTATGAAAGCAATTTGAAATCTCACAATTTAAGATATGAAATCAGATTATTGATTCCAAATTTCCAACCTCTAAAATGGTAAATGCCCAAAAAAAGGAGAAGGAAAATTATTTAGGACATCTTTTTTATATTATCTTTTTATATAATTTTATTATAATTTAAATAATTGATTTTTTTTATTTATATAAAATATATGATATTAAATATATTTATTAATTCAATAATATATAAAAATTATATAAAAAATATAAAAAAAAAATTATTTTTATATCACCGCTAAAAAGAAAGTAAGTAATGTTTACAAATAGCCGTACAATTTTATTTTATTTTTCAAAATATGCTTGTATTTTTCTTATTGAACAATACAATTTTTTTTTTTTGGTACATTAGAACAATACAATTTTACATAATAAGAAAACCTTATAGATTACTTATCCAATCATCTTTCTCCTCATTTGGGAATCACCATTTTATTACGGCATCGTTGAGTCTGCTTCCCTGCACCTGCACACACCGGATAGTAACGCAACCAATAAAAAGGAGAGCCCGTTTGTTTCTCAAGAAAATGCAAGAAAAATACAATAGTGCGTTTGGTTGTTTCCGCTCTGTCCCGTCGCCGGTCCCGGAGAAACTTCCACTGACGACCTCTCTGATCCTCGCGCCAAATTTCGGCTGGAAAAACGACAATGTAAGTCTTCAAGGTTTTCGCTTTGCTTTTCGTTCCATCTGTTTCGTTTATTTTCTCAGTTTCCAAACATATAAATAGAATTCAGTAATCTTGAAATGTTGCATGAAATCGTTCTTTTTTTCTGCGGCGGTACCTTTCTGTATATGTATTAATCCGTGTTCATGCTAGTTCAAGCGAAGGTGGCTCTGCCTTTATCAGAGATTCGGTTTTCACATTTTCTTTCGAGGTTTAATCAGGTTTTAATGCATTTTCTGAAAGTATAATTCCCGTTCCTTGCTTCCGATCCTTTTCCATGTTAATTAGCATGGATGAACAGATGACAAGGAAAAGAACATTAGGTTTTATTGAACTGGAATTCGAATTTGTATTGTAGTTGGCCTTGTTAGTCTGCTAATTTAGTTAGTTCTTGGCTTTACATTTGTTGTCTTTGTTGTCTGTTAAATTTTACGTCCAGATGTTTCTGTCTGTATGGCTTTGCAACTTCCTGGAATGATTGTAAAACATAGAGCAGAATCTGTTTTATCAGCTACATTTTTGGTTTTGATTTCATCATCTGGAAGATATATTTGTGATTCCTTCTGTTACATTAACGGGAGATTTCAACTTTTAGACTTACTTTTCTCATGATCAAACAGAATTTTATTTATTAACTTGCGCATATGAAGTTTTGATTCCATTAGACTCTTACTTTTTCATTTGTTGTTGTGGTCTGCAATGTCTTCATCAACAATGCTGAATGCTGAAATAAAATCAGAATTACAAAAGAATTGAAAGTAACATAATTTTTCTCCAGGGCTTCTTCTTTGACAGCATGACTTAATGATGGAAGTAAAAGCCCAAGTTATTAAACCCTTTTGACAAGGACATTCTTTGTTACAAAATCCATATGTTTTGGTCTCTTCTAATGTTGCTCTCAGTGTTTGGTTTATAGTTCATCTGGTTTGAGCCATTTTATCATTTTGTATATAATATTAATGTCTTTTTAAAAGGAAATGTAGTCCCTGTATCTCAACCCCATCATGTCTTTATAGTCTAAATCATGAGATCCATGCTATACGACCCTCTTTTTGATTTGTTGTAATGAATTATTTGTCTAACTCTTTCCACTGAAAAGTGGAAAAGAAAGAATAAAAATGATATCCTTGACCAATTTTTGAATTTAAATGGTCAGACGTTTTTTTATCTTGCTTCCATTCCATGGAGTATGCTGAATTTGAAGAGAAGGTGAAAAGGACTCTTTATGTTGATGATCTCTCGCCAAATGTAACTGAAGCTGTCTTGAGGAGTGCCCTTGATCAGTTTGGAACTGTGAAAAGTGTTCAGTTCATCCCAAACTACCTGGGACCAAGCAACCTCCCCCAACGTGCTTTGGTGGAGATGGCAGAACCGAAGGAAGCCAAAGCAATCATATCTGTTCTGACTCAGTTCCCTTTCATGGTGGCTGGGATGCCAAGGCCAGTGAGGGCAAGAGCTGCTAAAATGGAGATGTTTGATGATCGCCCAAAAAGGCCTGGAAGAGAGATACAGTACTGTTGGTTGAAACCCAGTGATCCTGATTTTCAGGTTGCAAAGAGGTTGAAGCATCTTGTGCAAAAACATTCTGCTGAATCTGCCTTAATGCTCAAGGTAAGTTTCTGCATCTTTATTGTAGCTAGCTCCATTTCCATACTGTAAATATCCACATACTTTACGGGTGAACTCATTTAGCAATTTTTTTTTTTGCATGCAGCAACAGCTACTTAAAGAAGAGGAGCTTGCAAAGCAGCAGGCACAGTCTCTCAAAGCAAATTATAAGAAGTATGAGATGGTTGATAGTATAGTAGCTGATGGGAGAGTCAGTAAACTGGCCAAATATTACAATCAAATGTTTGATAGGCGGTTCGTTTTTCCTGGCTAGTTTTGGGAACAAGCAACAAAATTTTGTATAAATGCAAGGGGTCCTCTGCTGTCACTTCTACAAAAAAAAAATGCTTAGATATTAGTCTCCTAATCAAATGTGAAGTTAGATTTGGCTCTTTTCATCTCCTTTATCCTCTAGATTCTTGAGTGATTCGGGAATTAGTATTATTACTTAAGAGTTCAAGAGCTTGTACTTTTTCCTAGCTTCTAATTCGCCTTGCTTATTACGTAGCCTTATCATTCAAAAACCATGGAACGCCTTTCTTGATCTTGTTCCTCTTAAAAACGATTTGTAGGTTGCAAAATATGTGGGAAGTGGTAACCCTCCCTCTTCTTACCTCAGCTTGGTGCTGTTGTTAGTGGAGCACGGGACTTTGATTCCAAGAACAAGAGAAAACCCTCATATTGCAGCTATGTAGATGTCTCTCCATTGTTTGTTGTAGACTGGCTGCGTTTTATGGGCCTAAGTAGGCCCCTTGTCCACTCCAAAGGGTCCTGTTGTAGCCCTGCCTTGAATTTTATCCAGAAAAAAAAAAAAAAAAACCCTGAAAGGTTTGTTTTTTGGGGGAAAAAAAGAAGTGAGCATTAGGAAAATAGATTTGCCTAACTCCCTGTCGGCAATTGGTATTAGGTACGCCTCATTATTACTTTCTTTGCTTTATCTTGCAGATTCTCAGTTAGGATTCGGTAATTATTAGCTTTTTGACACTTAATTTCCAGCCATTGATCTATGATCCGAAGTGTTTTTTATCCTTCTATCACATCCCATCCCATCCCATATTATCTTTCTCTTTTTTCCTTTTTTTTTTTCTTTTTCAAAATTTGCCTTGTTTAATTGTTGTTTCTACCCTTTTAAGCGTATATTGCCTTTTATTTTAATCCTATAATTATAGCTTACTTTTGATTCTTTATCTTATTGTAATATGGGACCTGAGGGAGTGTAATCTAATAAGTATATGTAGTGCTTTACATTTTATAATATAGAAGATTATTCCGCATAAAAAGAAAATCCCACATTTTATTTATTTATTTATTTTTTAACTTTGATAACGAGCAGCAAGGATATAACAAGGCATAGCCATCTTTTACAAAAATTCCACATTTTAATTGCGTAAACCTCAAAGCATTGAAATTTTTTGTTCCACGCAAAAATCAGAGAATATAACCGCAAAATACAAGTTGCTTTTGAAAGGTAATGTTGCTGTCTCTTTCATCACCCCCTTTTTTTCATGGCGATTGGCACGATCAAATTACAATTTTTTAGGACATATAAATTGTTAAAGTTTTATTTTAATTTAATTATTAAAAATAGTTTATATTTAATAAAGTAGTTAATATTTGTTATTTAATAAATTAAAATTAATACATAAATAAACATTTTTAAATATTATAATTAATTACTTTTTTTAAAAAAAGAAAATTTTAAATGTTTTAATATTTTAAATATTAAATTTTTTTATAAAATTATTTAAATATTTTATAATTTTTTATACACTAATTTATTAAAGATAATTTAATTTATTATTATTATTATTGACATTTTAAATAACAAAATATCTTAATTTTCTTCAATTAAAAAAGTTATATTATAATAAAATAATAATCGAATTACGTCGTTTTAACAAAATTGTGTAGGATCATAACGCATCCCAAAAAGGTCAAAAAGTTAAAACAATTGTAGCCAATAAGATATCAAAAAGCAGTATATTTATCCACTTGAATCTGTATGGTGCATGGAAAACCAGGAAAAGAATTAAGTCATGGAAGAAACCAGTGCAGAAGAGGAATAATAATATGCTTAGGCGCTAAGTTACTTGCCAAGTACAAAAAATGGAATCAAAGAACTTGCTTCTTTTTTTCTTTTTTGTTTTTAATGATAAATGGGCGCAATTTGGCTGTTTTTAAATGATAAATGATACCTCCCATTTTTTGGTTTTTACCTGTTTTTAGGAGCTCATAAGGGGTTTATCACCTCCCCTTGAGCGAGGATTTAACAATTAAAAGTTAAAATTTTTATATTAGAAATTTTAAATATAAATCATGTAGTAAATAAGAAAAAAAAGGTTATTATTTATTATATAATTATTCAATGTAAAAAAGAAAAAAAGAAAAAAAGAAAAAAAGAGTGGCTTAGCACAGATAGTCTTAGGGTTTCTTTAAGGAGTTGGTAGATGTTAAGAGATGAATTATTGATGATGCATAAACGTAGAAGCCATACCGATAATTTATTGATTTAAGTGAAAAGAGTTTAATTCTTTTTAAATAAAATTTTGAATTTGAAATTTATAAATAGAAAAATAAGTATTGAAAAGTTTCCTCACTTATAAGGTTGTAACTTTCCAATACTTGGGATTAGTATAAAAAAAAAAAAAAAAGAAAGAAAAAAAGTAAAAGCCATAACTAGGGGTGAAGATGATAACAATTGGACCACAATTAACAGTGAAAACGATAACACAATTGTAACCAGTCTAAATTGACGCATAAAATATTAGTTCATTGGCCCCAATTCTAGTAATATTCAGTGTTTTGTTTCTAGCTAGCTTTCAATTCACTAGTCAATATATATAAGCATGAAGCATCAAAAAAAATTTTTTTTTCTTTTTTTTCTATTTACAAGTTCTAAATTTGCGATGTATTGCTTTATCATATTGGCAATCAATTAACTAAGCGACTTTGTGATTATTTATGATTATCTCGTACCTAACCATCCATTGCTAAATTTTATATTAAGGTGAATCGCAAATTAATTCACAATCATATGATCTTCCATTTAAGAAAATCTCTTTCCTCATGAGGATGTCAATTAACGTTAATTTTCACGTGAACACACATGTGGTGCTCGTAATTTCAACAAATCACTAGCTAATAAACAAACAAATTAATAAATAAATAAATATCAAAAACAAAAATCAAACCGCACTCCATGCATTTTTATTTTTGACCCTTAATAAAAATTGTTGTTGTCTCATCAAAAGGAAACACCCCATTTTTCCTTGTTCTTTACAAAAGCAAAAGGTGGAATCACCCCCATTTTCCTTCATTGGCGTTTTGCGACCAAAGTACCTAATCTCTTATCTCTCACCTATTCAGCAATCCCTTTCCTGAGGTCGTTTTGCCACACAAATGGCATTGATTTTTTGTACCTAATAATCAAAACACATCAGCCTCCGCCCCTTTCGATGGGGACTTCAAACTACTCTATTTAAGGCGGAGAAGCCAAGATAGATAATGGCTACTGCATTCTACACTAAAAATTACGTATGCCTAGTTTTGGCTCTTGGTTTGGTATTTGGACCATCCCATACTCAGATAGAGACCTCCTTTTGTTTTTCCTAATGAATTTATTAGTTCGGATTATGGTTATAGTGACCATTAATTTTGTTATGGCCAATAAAATTATTAAAATTTTAATTTAATTTAATTATTAAAAAATTAATAAAATGATAATATTCATTATTTAATCAATTAAAATTAATTTA